CCCCAAAACCCCAAAACCCCAAAACCCCAAAACCCCAAAACCCCTCCTGCAAGCATATTAGTTATATATGAAGAATTGAGAGTAGAAATTATTATTTAATATATATATTGTCATAAGGAAATGGTATCTATTAGCTTTGGGTGGGCACAACTTAACCTGCTTTTTAGGGCATTGATTTGGTTAAAAGAGGTAGAATTCAATTGAGAAACAAGAAAGATTCTAGAAGCTTGAACCTTTACCACCACCTTCTCGTCAGAGTAATATTATCAAATCATTTCTAACTTGAGTTTTTAACCTACTATTTTGTAGCTTTTCAGATTCCTCTCAAGAAGAACTGATTCCGCATTCGCTAAGACCGTCCTTAGAAGATTGCTATCCTCAAGAGTCAACAGACCTCCTGTTTCACTTAGTCGTCTCGTAAGACACCTCGGCCAGAAACAGTAACTTTCCCAAACTCTCTTAACACATATCTTAGAGAGAGAATCGCTGTAGTTATTGGAACAGTGACTGATGATCAGAGACTTCTTGAAGTTCCCAAGTTGACAGTTGCCGCACTCAAGGTTACTGAGACCGCTAGAGCTAGAATCCTCAAAGCAGGTGGAAAAGTGCTCACTCTCGATTAGCTCGTTCTTCTCGCACCAACAGGTAATATATCTCTTTCTTTTCCAATTCTAATTAAATATTATAATAGGCACAAACACTTTACTCCTTAGAGGACCAAAGGACAGAGAAGCCAAGAAGCATTTCGGACCCGCTCCAGGTCTCCCAGGCTCCCACACCAAGCCATACGTTAGAGCTAAGGGCAGAAAGTTCGAGAAGGCCAGAAGCGTTTGATCAGATTAGCCTCATCAGCTAAAACAATCAGTTGCCTTACAGCAACTTTAATTTCTCTCAACATTTCACATAATTCTACTTATCAATCAATATAAATTAAGAGACTTTGTCAATCAATAATATCTAATTAAACTATTTAAATCATTAATTTGCTTGATCAATGAGTCTGGGGTTTTGGGGTTTTGGGGTTTTGGGG